ACACACACACACACACACATACATGCATACATACATGCACATACACACTTTCATTGCCTCACTTACCTTAATTTCTTTACGCTTATCTTTGCTGCTTGAGCGATTGACAGATGTGCGATCAGTCACTGCAGTTGGCTGATGTTCCTCCAGCGCCTCACTCTTAAATATGTGCTTACCGCTCCTGCCCAACAGATGGCAGTAAAAGCCAAGCTGTGCAATTTTTTGACACACGTAACTCTATATTACATTTAATTTAATGAGTGAAACATGGAACTTCATGAGCTTAAACAGCTGCAGTGTGGATCTGTTTGACCTGCTTCAACTGCTAAATGGCTGCAAATCTGCTTTTTTTTCTGGAATGGTTGTTTTTTTTATGTCTCTTGAACGGCAACACCTGAGTGACAAGATACTTTGAAGCCTGTCTCCTGATGGACACTGGTTTCACCTCAGACAACATGACCCCATTTTAAGCTGTTAGGTGTCAACGTGGCATACTTTTCTAACCAAAAATGTCGTCAAATCAAGAAATTTGCTTACACCTATAGGTTTTAAAATGATACACACAGATTGACAAGTGTATCTGCAGTAAAACAAAGAATTAAGTTTCTATGCTTAATTTACATTGTGTAAAATCATTCAAATGAAGTATAATGGATAACAATGCAGTAAAGAGTTTTGAAAGCATTGACACTGTGTCAGCGGTGAATGGGTCATGTTCTCTGGAATATGTGTCCATAAGACATTGAAGTGAAAAAATAATTATTGACAGCGTAAGAAAGGTAAGTATAAAAAATGTGTTAACTAGTTGTCTGTCCATGTGCTGGGACTTGGTATGAGTGAGTGATTACCTCTCCGACAGAACTGTTAAAATGTATCCTTAAAACATGTTCCCTTGCATTTGTGAGCACACCTGAATTGTAATCTTGACAAGTCATCTGAAGCTGAGATGCATTTCTGTCATGATAAACTCCCCCCTGACCGTTACAGGGTCTTTATAGTGTCACATGAAGCTAAAACAGTTGATCACCAATCGAACCACCAAAGACAGATGCTCCTCTTGTATCGTCCTCTTTTCCTTATTCTTCCCATATTTGTTTTCTCCCGTTTGTTGAAGTATTTGTTGCTTTATTTCTGTTCAGGATAATGGATGAAAACAGCTTCTACTTCGCTACTTCTCCATTGTGATAAACCGACACATCTCAGTCGGGCTCACTCGTCCTTGATGTTGTTGCAAATAGCTTATGTTGAGTCTGTTTACTTCTCAGCAGTGAGCCAGCGTGGCTTCCAGTTCAAGTCTAATATCTTTCCAGTCCTGGCTGAGACTGATGTTAAGATCTGTAAATGTGCTTTCACAGTGATTTGCATGCAGATTGTTGGGACTAGAAAAGTAATGGAGAGATTTGGTTTTAGCTGAGACGTTAGCTTAAGGTTGAACACGTGAGCTCCTGCAGCTCCCACCTGCTGGTTTCTGTTTAGTTTAGTGAACATGAGAACATGTGACACCGTCGATACCTTCAGCCTGCTTCACAGAGCTTACTGACATTTGGGGCGATAGAAAATGTGTTATCACAGCTCATGTGGCCACTTATACCAAGTCCCATTTTGTCTTTGTTTGTGAGCTTGAGAAAATGTAATTATGGTGCAAACAAAAATGTGAATGCATGTTTGTATAAAGAGTTTGATTTTGCATGTGATATAGACAGAAATGTGCATTTGTGTGATTTATTTTTTATAGTGTTGTGCATCTCTCTTATTTCACCTGTATACCAGATCTTGCATGTCTCTGTGTGCACTGATTAGATATAAATATCAACAGACTGCGTGCTCTCCTCTTGCTGCTCTGCCTCTTGCTGCTGTTAAGCCCTCTCTCTGTTTTCTGCCATAGGATGCACACCTCGACCACCACGTGCAGCCTCGGCTCTGCTGATGAAAATGCGGTGACTCAGGCAGACGAGGGGCTGAAGACCGTCCACCTGGAGCTCACGGAGACCTGCCTGGACATGATGGCACGATATGTGTTTTCCAACTTCTCCGCATTGCCCAAGAGGTTGGCAAGATTTATTTTTATAATGTGTCGGTACTTTTTTGAAGTGTTGGAAAAACTGGTGGAAGAAGAGAGAGTATATAGCAGTGATAAATCTGGCTTTCCTCTTAGGTCACCCATAGCAGAGTTCTTGTTGGCAGGGGGTCGCAGTATGACCTGGCTTGTGGGCAACAAGCTGGTGACCATAACAACCAGTGGAGGGGTCCGAACACAAGCATTGCTAGGCCTGGACATGGCTGAACGTCTGGGAGGAGGAGGGGAAATGACCAGGTGAAGCATGTTCACACACACTTGCACTCACAAATAAAAAAAATTCCCCTGATTTCATTTGTTTTTGTTTTGTTAAATGATTGTTTTCTTCTCCTGCAGGTCAGACCCATCTCTACACACCCGAATAACCAAAGAGGCTCCAGCCAAACTGGAGTCACAGTCAAGCCAGCAGCACAGCAGAGCCACACGCATACGGGTCCGCTCCATCTCAGGTAAAAAACAAATATCTACCCTAAGAGGAAACGTCTCAGGCCTCAATACTGTGTACGACACACCAACGTGCCCCTCATTTACAAATACAGCTATAGTTTTTGTGTAGAAGAGAACTGTCCAATCGTGGTGACACATACTAAAATTCCTCTTTTGTATGATAATATTGATATATTTTGGATTATTAAGCATTTGGTTGGTGCTGTTTTCCAAAATTCCTTCGGTAAAATAGCCTTATTCTCTCTTTCAGTCCCAGTGCACCCCTGTCTGCTCCTAATAAGTGTTATGTTAATGGAGATCAGTGGCATTATTTATCATTATTCTACATTGGGTATTATGTTGAAAGGGAAATGGGGTGCAAAATTATATGTTGTGGGGACATTCAACACATTTGTTTGAATTTGCATGGGAATGTGATTTTCTTGAGTTGCGTTGTGCAGATTTTCATTAGCATGACTCCCACGATTCCATACTGCTAAACAACATCATCAAATTGAGGTCTTTTGTTATTGTTTTGATTGAGGGACCCTTAGTGGATGAAGTTATGTATTAAATTATGTCTTTCCTTTTGTCTGTCAAAGTATATGTGAAATATAATTTCCTACGTTTCTGTCTGCTTCTTTCATTCTTTGTTATTATGCTGGTGTTTAATGATTTATTACAGGTGACCTTTGTGATGTTTAAAAAAAATCTCATCAGATAACCTTATATTCCAGGAGGCCACGCTCTACGTGCCGGTCCTGCTCAGAGCCTCAGTCCTCTTGTGTCCCCGTCTGAGGGCGAGTTAGCTGCTCCCCTCTCTCCCTCGACCGGTCCCACCCTTGATGCCCTGGGTCCTCCCTCCTCCAGCTCAGTGGCCCCGTCAACCCCCCCGCCTCTCAAAGACAACCCCAGTCTGGCTGATTTTGTCCCCATGCTCACACAGGGCTGGGCAGAGATCTTCATCCGGAGACCGTCTGGTACATAAAACACACAAAAAGTCTATGATGTCATAGCAGGGCTTTAGCACATATTGTTTTCTACATATTAACCATAACATTAGTACATTGGTTAGTGTGATGAAATGGTCAGAATCCCTGTTGTGGTCCATTTACAGCAGTTTAGCGTCTGTTCATGACTGTTTCTCTCTGTTGTTGCAGGTAACACCAGCTGGCTCATGTGTCTGGAGAACCCACCCAGTCCCTTTTCCTCTGAGCTCGGCAACATGCCGCTTCAGGAGCTCTCCACTGTCCTGATGGCGATGGAGGGAGTGAAGGAGCCTCCTGCCCAGACTGCCAGCGCTCCCGCTAGCACCGCTGCTCCCGCACCGGCACCGGTCTCTGAGCCCCTGACCCAAACACAGAGCAGCGTCGCAGGGAAGGCAAACCTGATCCAGCGCTCCAACACTGGTGAGTGACAGTCTGAGGAGAAGATTAAAAGATCAGAAAGTTTGAGAATAGTTTTGATTTTGTTGATGTGTGTACGTAGTTGTTCAAGTGAGTTATAATTTGCTTCAGAAAAATGAAGGATCATAAAAACAGCACCTCCTGAATAGTTAGCTACAGAACAGAAAATCATAATGAACTAATAAATCCAATGTTATGCATGAATGCATCTATTGAGTCTGCCTGGCTGCCTGTCCTTGGTCCCCTCAAATGGATTGAGCTAAGTGCCAGATTGTGTGTAAGTACTTTATTTGAACCAGAAGGAGATCAATAAATCAGCCTTGGTTTAATCAGGTCACTGATCATCAAAGATAACCACTTTGACAGGTACTTGTTTTATAAGATAAATGTCTTGTTTGCGGATGCCTCCTTTTCCAGAGTCCTGTGCATTTGTTTTTATTTTCTTTCTGTGGTTCCACCTGCTTCAGTTTTTCAGCTGGGTCCATCTTTTTTCTTCATTCATTCTTTCTACATAATTTTTCCCTCATTGCCTTTGAGATTTCCCCCCTCATTCTGATTGGTTTGTTGTCATGTCATTTTTTTTTCCATTTTCAACACCATACTGGTTTGTGGCTGGCTGCGGTCTATAATGTGGCGTCATGCGCTACCAACCTATCCTCTGGCGTCCCGCCTGCAGTTGGCGGCTTTCTGTGGTCTCTGGGTCTGGGCTCTGCCCCCTCAGGCCCTCCAGCCCAGGGCAGGTTGCACAGGAGCATTTCCTGGGCAGGTATTGTCCACCACGTGTGTGAGCCCACATCTACCCTTACCCCCCTCCAGAAACCCCTGGTGTAGTGTATTTCTTCTCACTTGTACAGTACTGTAGTCACCACATGGTTTTATAATGTCCATATTATATGGAAGTTCTAATTTATTGATCGCATTGCTATTTAAAGTACATTGAAAGACCAAAATATTGATTTCAAAATGAAATACCCTAAAAGAACAGTTATACATTTTGGAAAATGTGGTCTTATTCGCTTTCTGGTGAGAGTGAGATGGAAAGATTGAAACCACTCTTCCCTGTCTGTCCACTATAAAGCTACAGCCAGGAGACAGACACGTCTCCGCTTCTTCCCACTATCCAGAAATGAAGCTGAAATATCTTGTATATGAACGCCACCAGCTTGCACATTTTATCCAAAGTCTGCGATCAGGGGTCGAAGCTGTTGTAACTATGTCGTTGATAAATCAATAATGGCGGTTCACCTAGTTTGGTTTTTCAAACCTACCTGAAAAATGAACACTTGAACATACATCAGTGTGATAGGAACTACCCAAAATCACCAAAAAAACATCTTTGGACGTGTTAATTGACTTTTTCATTTGGTCCATCCACTATAGAGGAGGTGGGTTCATGACCTATACTTCCATCCATCTTTATTTACAGTCTATGCTTGAAATAGGGAGAAGCCTTGAAACCGGCTCTATTCAAAGGTAACGTTTGTCTAACAGCACCTCTTAAACTCAAATTAATAAATTATATCTGCTTTTTAAAAAATCCTTCTAAAGTGGCGAGCTTTTGGTTTTAAATGGGATTATGTGCTGGGCTTTTTCTTGGCTATGATGCTACACTATGTGTCTGTACATGTCTCCTTGCTCCAGCTTCATATTTGCCACACTGACAGAGAGTGGTATTATTATCTGTAGGAAAACAAATAAGGGTGTTCTCCAAAATGTTAAACTGTTGTCTTAATTTGAAGTGAGACATGATTTATAATTTTTTCTTTTTTAATCTTGTTTAATGCTGAAAAACTGTGCAAGTGAAGAACGTTTCTGCTTTACCCATCAATCTTCTATTAACACGGGAGGGAAACAAGCTTGGGTTAATCAGTCCCATGACACCTAAAGATGGGTCATGATTAATTTTTTTGTCTGCCTCCATGATTTATTTGTCTGTCCCAATCATCCTCTCTAACTCTTGTGTTTTTGAAATATATGCAGGTAGACTGTTTAACCTTTGACCTTGTCAACAGGAAAGCCCAGACCTCATCCAACTCTGCGGCTCTTCCTTGTCTTACTGGTAGAACAGTAGGACGATGAAGACGATGTCAGAGCTGCAGCTTTAAAGGCCAACGCTCCAGTGTCAGACACCCCTGACTGTGTTGGCTCCTTCTTCTTAGTTGGGTGTGTAGAGAGCATTGAGAGATAGCAGGACTGGAGGGCCTGGTCTGGGCTGCTGTTGCTGCAGCTTGTTTGGGCTGCAATTTCCCTTTAGGATTAAACAAAGTGCTCTATCTGCTGTATCTCTCTGTAACCATCAAGCCGACCAAACAGATGCATGTGCCTTCATGGAAATCGAGTAGAAGAAGCAGTGATGGATGGATGTAGCTTACTGCATTTATCTTCTCTGTGTCTCTGATCTCAGTGTTAATAGGTTGGATTCACTCTTGGTCTTGATCTAATCTGTGTTTGCCTGGCTGCCTTAGAGTTTGTTTAATCATGTGGATGCATCAGATTCTATTTCATGTGACAATGATTAATTCAACTTTTTATCTACTCATGTTTAGAGAATGTGTGATTTGTGTAGGTTAAAATGATTTCTGACGGCTGTGGTGAAGTCTGTCCACCTGTGTACATGTTTGTGTTTTTCTGAGTGTGTAACAAATAGTGGACAACACTGATGTGTGTGTTTTCTGTGTGTTTATAACCCACATGTCTGTTGCTGTGTACTGCTGTAGAGTCTGTGGTGGTGCTAGAGGAAAGCTCAGTAGTCGCTGCAGCACACAGCCCGTCTGATTGGCTGGAGAGTGAGGAGTTTGAGCCAATGACCTCTGATCCCATCTTCATGTCTGCTGACAAGTTCACCAAGACCCCGCCTCCTGGAACACTCAGCAGGGTAGGTTGTTGGTGCACACAGAGCAACACATTCAACATGTCCTGACAAGAAACAAACAAAACACCACATGTGCATTAGAATAATTACATATTAAATGTGATTTGTTAAGGTTTTTCAAAGCCTGAATTAAAGCTTATCACAGCTTCGCTACAATCTAATCTGTTTCGTCATCAACTGATAGTCAAAAGTCACCTGCTCCTCTTTTTAAGCAGGTTTTTCTAACCTTTGTGGCTGAACAAAAAGGGGCATATCACCACAGACACACATTTGCACATTTTTGTAAAAATCTAATCTGCTTAAACCTGCTAAGCCTCATGATGTCATCATTTAAAGAGATTGAAATCTATGGAGTTTTTTTTTTTCTTTAATCAAGAGCGTGGTCTTTCAGTTCGAGCGCATGACTTGTTGAACTTATGTTCAGATTGTGCATTACTTTTCATCAAAAGCCAGCCCTTGCACTCAGATAGCCCCTGTTTGCACTGACCTTTGCTCTGCTTCCGCTCAAACTGTGTGCTTGCACTCAGATATATTGTTGCTCGCACAGATTTCCTGCGTTCCAGCCGTACCTTCTCCGCATTCGGGCTGCTTTCTGTGCACTCGTGAATCGTCTGCTTTCATATTTCTCCTCTGCTCTTGCAATCTTTTGTGTTACAACCCTGTCAAAATTCCCCGACCAAAAGAATACCAGGTGTCGTCTTGACCAATGGTCATAATCTGAACATAAATTCAACAAGTCATGCGCTTGACCTGAAAGATTACGCTCTTGATTAAAGTTAGGATACAAAACTCCACTTATTGCCTTTCTCCTCCAGTCTTCCTCCACCTCCAGTCAAGATGACGAGAAGTCGACTCTTGAGGAAGTAAGTGAGGGAGCGATTCCCATCGATCAGCCCACCATGGGTCCTTCTACACCTGGCAGCCAGGGACCCGAGCTTCCCTTCCAGAGTCATTCTAAGTCCCAGGGTCACGGACTTAACAAATCTAGCTCCTCTCCAGAGCTCCAGACGTTACCTGAAGCCTTCACCAAGGCTGCTCTGGAGTCTGAGACAGTGCTGTCAGACACATTGCGGCCCAGGCTGCCCTCAGATGGCAAGCCTCAGCAGCCGCAGCAGCCGCAGCAGCAGCAGCAGCAGCAGCAGCAGCAGCAGCAACCTCAACCTCAACCTCAACCTCATTTTGAGAAAGATAAGGTGGAGGTTAGCACGGGAGGGGACGTTAATGGCCTGGGAGGCGCTGAAGGCCCTGGTGTAGCATCATCTCAGAGTGGAGGGGCAAGGATGAGGCTGGAGTTTCCAGCAGCAGTGGCACAACCTGGACCCATCTCCCCCAGCGGAGGCCACCGGCCCAGGGGTCACACCATCTCAGTATCGGCCCCCTCCTCCAGGAGGGAGAGAAGGACAGAGAGGGACTTGTACCACAGTCGGCCAGGACCCAGCAACACTGAGAAGATTTCTGGACTGAGTCCCAGGTACTCCACCATTAATGCAGAACGCTGCTGCAGCCTCTGTCCTCCATCACTGCCAAATCACTGATGTAGTAAACTAATGTCTGCTCAACTGGCAAGATTCATAGTGGAGATCTGCCAGTGCAGAACATTTAATTACATTCCACAGCCAACATTAACATTGAAAAGATGTTTGAGATGATGAAAAAATACTGGTTGAAATGTTCCTGCAGCAAATTATTCACTTCTTCCTAGAACATAAAGTTCATAGCTATACATTGGTTGATATTTTTAGATTTTCATTTCACGTCTCCATTTTTATATATATTTACCAGTGACTAACTATGTCTGCAATGTCTATGAATTACACATCTCTTGGGTTTTAAATGTCTGACAAAAACACCTGATTTTTTTGCTCTTTTTTTTTTTTTCAATGTGTGTGTATATGCTCAACACTTTTTTTTCTCTCTCTGTCTTTATCTCCTCTAGCTTTGTCTTCCTCCAGCTCTACCACTCTCCTTTCTTTGGGAATGAGGCTAACAAGCCACTGCTGCTGCCTAAAACTCAGGTTGGTTGACCTCTGAACCCGACGGACCTGATCTCTGCTCTACAGTGTTGTCACCTCTGCCAAGGGGGTCGTGTTTTTATTGTCGCTTGTCTGTCATGTAGTTTTTAGTTTGTTTTTTTACATTTTACGGAATCTTAATAAATACAGATCTGGTATCTGTAGGGTACAAATATCAATGAACAGGTGAAATTATAAGCAGCTTGCAGAAAATTCCTGTGAATATGGTTTATGTATCTAATCTCAATATATGTATTTGCCAAATGGGGATGAAGTGGCCAATCAGGTTTGGCAGTGCTCTCCGAGTACGACTAGTTTACGACTTCTTCTTTCTCTGGCAGGTGATTGACCGAGCTGTGAAGGTTCTGGACCAGATGCCTCCTTATGACACCCATAAGATCGGAGTGGTGTTTGTTGGAGCTGGTCAGGTGAAAAGATATGGACCTTAATGGTTGTCTTAATTAATAATTCCTTTGGTTCTTGCTAACTTCACATCCTCATCATCTTCACTCTTTTCAGGTTAACAATGAAGTCTCCATCCTTTCAAACGAGTACGGTTCCAACCGCTACGCTGCCTTCCTAACAGGCCTGGGCAAACTAATCCATTTGAAAGACTGTGACCCCGACCAGATCTTCCTTGGAGGGCTGGACCAGTACGGAGACGACGGAGAGTTCACCTACTGCTGGCATGACGACATCATGCAGGGTCAGTGCATGTGTGACGGGGGGAAATAACATTAATTATAATGGTAATTTTTTTGTTTTCCACTGCTGCTGTGCTCTTTTTAGTTTGAATAAAATCGTGTCTCTGCAGCGATCTTCCACATAGCCACACTGATGCCAAACAGGGAGAGCGACAAGGGCTGCTGCAACAAAAAGCGTCACATTGGCAACGATTTTGTCATGGTTGTGTACAATGACTCTGGAGAGGACTACAAACTGGGCACAATTAAGGTACACGCACACACTAGCAAAAAAACAAAATCCAATAGAAATTGCATTAAATATTCATGTTTCAGCTCCAATGTCTCGTCTCTTTTCTTTAGGGCCAGTTTAATTTTGTAGAAGTCATTATAAAACCACTGGATTTTGAATGTAACCTCGTCACCCTACAGTGCCGCAAAGGTGAGCCTATCAGTTTTTTCTCATCCTGTTCCTTGTTGCTGCCAGTTGTTTTTACTTTTATTCTCTTGTTCTCTATTTCAGACCTTGAGGGCTTAGTTGACACAACAGTGGCAAAAATCGTTTCAGACCGCAACCTTCCACTCTTAGTCAGACAGATGGCTCTGCATGCAAACGTAAGACTTCCCCTAATCTCTGTCTCCCATAACTACTCACACATACACACACTCAGTTCACTCTTCTTTGTCTTTGTGCAGATGGCCTCTTTGGTGCACCAGTACAGAGCAAACCCGTCAGATGCTTATGCCTCCAAGTGGCTGGCGAGATTACGACACATTAAGAGGATCAGAACCAGGGTGAGAACACAAACACATTTGAGAAATTGTTCTCCTTAATCCCTGTCACAGTTTATTCAGATTCTCAGTTTGCTTTCTGAAATTTCATCCATCTTGTCTCTCTGCTGTGACTCTCAGGCCCAAGAAGACATTCAGTCTCGCTCGACTCCCGGCATCTCGCTGACCCAAGGACACACTCAGCAGAACAAGTCGTTTCAGCAGAGCACTCCAGCACCAAACCCTGAAACCTCAGGGCAGAGAAAGAGACTTGTATCAACAGTGGACGATTTCACTGATTTTGTTTAATTACATTTCTTCTCCTGGCTGACGCGATCGCACATGTGAGCATGCACTCATGACCGTAGACAAGGGGTGTTTGCGTGTTAACATGTGTGGAATAAAAAGTGACCATGGACAAAATTGGAAATGTTGTGTTGTGCACTGTTTAAGATAAAGCAGACATTATTTTGTGAATCATGAAAACAAGGTGAAAGGCATCATCTGTCCATCACATGAATCAGCAGCATCACAGTGAGAGTTTCAGTTCATTACCTTCAACAGGGAGGTTGTTTTCATCTTTTTTTTTTTCCAGCAGGATTTCTCAAAACTTATAATTATCAAAATATATATGTATATATATATACTGTATATACTTTCCATGAAACTCAATGGAAGGATCGGGCCAAGAAAGATCCCATTCAATTTTGGCATCGATTCAGAGAGAAAGAAGCTCCAGGAATTATTTATCTTTTTCTTTCACTTTGCGAAATAGGGCGTTTGACATTTTCTTCCATTTTTCAGGAAATAATTAATGGATCTTGAATGATCCAGCAAACTTAATTGTGGTTTCATAAAGGGACTGTTAGGCCTTGGAAGAGGTATCTGCACTACTGAGTGCTAGTTTTTCTGTCCGGCTCACAACTTTACTGTCCTGGTTCAGTCACTGGTCTCAGAGTGTCTTCACTGCCTCCTCTTTGGCAAAAATAAGCAGCTAAACCCACAATGCACCACCTGCTCATCAGAGTTTGTAACTGTTCTATTTCCACATATTTCCACAGGAGTTGGAGGAGACCATAAATGGAGCCAAAAGACTTAAATTCATCAGGTACACAGAAACACCTCTCCACCAGTACGGATGATTCTGTTGTTCTATTGCTGCATGTCTAAATTATAAACTGTTTTAACAAGCTCACAAGATCAAAGTTCACGGTGCAATGTTCAGGTGTAAGTTACATTAAGCACAGAGCAGGACAATAATTAGTGACCAGAAACATTTCATTCTGCACAGTTCAGCTGTCAAACTCTTTATTTGACTTTGTCAAGTGCAAAAACATGAGAAGTGCTACAACTGCAAAATAAAGATATAAGATACAAAAGAGCATAGACAAATATTTTCAAAGACAATTCTGTAACACTGTTTTAAAACGAAACGCATGGTACAACAACATAAAGGCAGCTGGAAGACACAAAGGTCGGCTTTGGCACTGTACTGTTACACAGAGCAGGAGTCTGAAGGCGTCGCCTGTGAACTGCTGGGCTTCCTGTGGTTTGTAGTTGACATTGTGGACAAATATCTATATTAAATACATCGATAGCTTTGGCTGAAGTGCTTCAGTTTGACTGGAGGAATGTAAAACTTTGGAATCCGCAACACCAGTGCTTGACATAATGAATACGCTGCTGCAGCACAAACAATACTAATCATGAAAAGCAAAAATATATACACCACACAGCACCAATATATACAGAAATGTACACACACAAGGCGAAGAAGACTTTGGGCCTTTTTCACTCCTATTTTTTTGAGATCCTGAAATAAGTGAAATCAAACACAACTTAGTTGCTCGGCCTTTTTCTCGTTTAAAGTTCAACATTTTGCTTTATGCTATGTGATGGTGGGTCTGCTTTGAAGTGGGAGAAAAAAGGACCTCTATCACACTGTGGTATTCCCACCTCAACCCTCTTCATATCCTCTAACAACCTGGGAAAACAGGGCCAGCACATCACTTCCATGTTTTGACTGAGAGAAGAAGGAAGTTGGCGTCTGGACGTCTGTCTGCAGTTTTTGGTTTTCCTGGTTGTCTGTCCAGGTTTTGGGGGAGAGGCTGGGTTCCCTGAGATCTGCCCACTGGACACAGGAAGAATGTACGTACGCTTTATCAAAACAAGAAGACAAAAACACAACAAAAAGACCAGACAAAAGCACAGGACACAACTGCAAACTACTGATTTCATACCTTGAATGTCTCTATAATGACACATGACAGTTAAATATGGTGTTGGATATCAGCTCCATCAGAGAATAAAGTGCTAAGTACAAAACGAACAAATGAATGAATGACTCGGCGTTGGTAACAACTCAGGATACGTGAATGATGCAAAAGCTTTGGCAACGTTTATACTAAAGATACAGTATGAGTGAAGCTTTCTCTATTGGTTTGGACACCCAGCTTATTACTTTACACCACACCTCTACATCTGAACAAAAGTGCTTTGAAATTACAACCATATTGAACACAACAAAAACATTTAGAGAAGTGGGAGTTATTTAGCTTTATGATGTCTGAATATTCAGTACTGTGTATAAGTGAATGAAAAAGCATCTTTTTCTTTAACACTTATCTAACACTAAACTTTACCATGCACCATATTATCCTACTTTATTCCCTCTTTTCCACGCTCCTGCTCATCTGCGCTACGACCACTTGCTACTCCTTCTTGTCGCTGCTTATTTCTTCCCTTCATTTTTCATCTCTTTCTCATATCCGGACCAAATCCGGAGAAGATGGTGAGAACTGGCTGCTGGGATCCCAACAGACGTGGTGTGTGTGTGTGTGTGTGTGTTACCGATGTTGTGGGGACCTAAATCTGTTGACACAGTCATATTATAAGGACAAAAAGCAAGTCCCTATAACGCATATCATTAAATCATTAAATTTAATTGTGGAGACATGTTTTAGACACAACTGTGTGAATGCATGTGTGCGTGTGTTTGTTTTCTCGTTCAGGCTGAATTGTACGACACATTAACATTAGCACGTCGGCGCCTACAGTGTAAATTTTCTATGCATGTGTGAACCTGCATGTGCGTATATCTGTGTGCGCCTGCATGCAAATACATATGGGCTGAAAACCATAATAACGTGACTGTTGTCAGACAGCCCACAAGTACCCATGGTAACCGAAATATCAAATATAAAAAATACGTAGACAGACAACATAACTGAGAAATCAACACATTATTTTTGTCAGAGATATACAAAAAGTCTGACGGCATTGTCTGCTTTCAGTTGCTTCAGTTCTCTGCTGAACACGCTTGTGTGCTCCTGTCGATGACCCCACGTAACCTCCAGGGTAACATGGGGTCAGGGTTAGTTTGGGTGTGGGGGATTATGGGATAGTGAGTGTACCTTGGTTTCATGTTGGATGTTTAAACCAGCTCACTAAGCACCTGGTGACCTGCACCTATTTTCTGGAGTTTGGAGCGATCTCTGTAAAGTCTTCCTGACATTTCTGACTGCTCTTCTCTGGGATTCTTGTTTTCGTTCCTCTGGGTTTAGAGAGGGGTCCCCAGGGACAAAACCAGCTGCCCCTGTCCTCTCGTCCTTAACCCAACATTTACTTCCGCATTCTTTCCCTCCACCTTTCACTTCTGTTCGTCTCTCCATCCAGAGTTCTCAGGATTTGGGGTGTCCAGAGCCGTGTCTGTCTATGTTGGGGTGCACCTTATTTTTGAGGGGTGGGGGCTTGCGTTTCCGCTTGCGAGTGGGAATGGTGGTCGTGTGGGCGGGGTGGTTGAACAGGCTGGAAGCTGGGAGGGTCTCTCTCTCTCGGGGAGGGTCCCAGTCCCGAGTGATAGGTGTTGGAGCAGGAGTGGGAGGCAGAGAAGGTGCAGGGGTACATGGAGGTGCAGTGGGGGTTTTGGGTGGTGGGACTTGGGTAGGGGGAGTGTTTGCTGATGAGATGGGGAGAGAGGAGGAGTCACATTTATCTGCGACTGGTGTGGGCAGAGGTGCACTGACTGAAGGTTTGGCTGAGGACTGAGGAGCAGGGGTAAGTGTTGAGGCCGAGGTTGGTCTGGGCTTTGAAAAAGGAACAGGTGTGGCTACAGGAGTCTTTTTGGGGTTGGTAGCAGTGTTTCCACAATCCTTTAAAAGTTCACCTTTATCTGTCTTTTTCCCCCTCTTGCTCCCTTTGTGTTTTTCCTTCCCGCTCTTTCGATCTCTCCATCCAGCAGAGTCCTTGTCATCTCCCTTCCCCCTCTGTCCTGCCTCACTCCTCCCTCTCTGACCACCACTTCCTCTGCCTCTACGCCTCCTTTTCCTCTGGGCTCGTTCCAATCTACACTCGATGTGGTACAGATCCTCTGTTGCCACGGTGACACGATCAAGCTGTTGCAGTAGGGCATCCAGGGTAGGGAGCAGCCTCCTCAGAGAGGCTTCCGTCTCTGCCCTCTCCCTCCAGCTGGTTCCTCCCACCACCACCCCGGGGCCCAACCCCAAACCCAAGCCCAAGCCGAGCCCCAGGCCGATCCCCGGTGCTTCTGTCAAACTGCAGGGGCTGGAGGAGGCTGGGCGCCACGAGGCCTCTGAGCAGGCATCGACGCTGTCAGGTGTGGGTGGAGAGTCGGGACCGTCCAGTGGCGGCAAGCACAGGGACTTACAGTCGCTGGTGGAGGACGAGCGGGATGGTGGCAGCTCCATGCCTTCAAAACGCACCTTGTGACGAAACTAAGACAACGATAAAAGACAAGATGGAGGCTCAGGGCAAAAGGAAGGAAACTGATGTATATTTGACTAAGTCGCCAATACAGTGTCTTTTAACAATAATCGTTTAATATTTTGTCCTAATAGAATCACTAATCTCTTTACCTCCTTGGCCCTGCTGAGTCCCATCCACATTTTCAGTCGTCTGAGGAACAGCTCGACCATCTCGTAGTCTTGGAGATCCACGGCTGGACGGTACAGCTCAGCTCGTGCGCGGCGGTAATTTCTCAGTAGCACCGAGGTGATCAACCAGAGCAACACGAGCCGAATTACAGCGAAGCTCGTGTGGAACACCAGCGCGGAGATGGAGCTGGAGGGGCCAGTGATCGTCCAACTGGGACGCCACGATAACAGGCCACGCCCACCAGCGCCCAGCAGAGACAGACAGCTGGCGCTCACACTGCCGTAACCGCCCAGGACAGAGTGGAAGAGCTGCGGTGAAGGAGACAGAGTAAAGATATGGAATATTCCTCACCAGTGATTTTCTGGATATGATAGTAGTACCTGGATTTACTTTAAACAGTTATCAATGTTGCAATAAAAAAAGAAAAATGATCACGTCACACATAAACATTTTAAAATGATCAATAGATAGCAGAATTGAAAGTTAAAGTTGAAAGTTGTTTGTAAATATAATATTCATAATGGTC